CACACACACACACACACTAATAATAATAATAATAATAATAATAATAATAATAATAATAATAATAAATGGATAAATAAATATATTAAAATAATAAAATATTTTAGATGTGTATGACTAAGATATCTACATACTGTTTGACCCCAACTGTGTGGTATTCTAAAAAAGACAAAAAAAAGTACAGAGACAAGTAAAGTTAGTGGTTGCCCGGGGTTGAAAGTGGGAGGGTTGTGTACAAGGGACAAAGATGGCTTCCGAGGCAGTGAATCTGCTCTGTGTGATACAGTGAAGATGTTCATCATTTGTCCAAACCTATAGAATCCACAGCAGCAAGAGTGACCCTAATGTAATTCTGGGAGATAATGCTGGGCTCTAGGGGCTCATCCACTGCAAGGAATACATCACCCTTTGGGGTTGCTGATGGGGGAGGCCGTGTATATGTAGGGACGGGGCACCCTGGGAAGTTTCAGTACATTCTGCTCAGCCTGACATTGATCTGAAACTAAATAATGTCTAACAAGTGTTAACATGAAGGTGCAGGGTCAGGGGATACATGATGACCTTGGAATTTATTTCAACTATAACCAAAGCATTGTCCACAGGAGCCGATCTCAATGAAGGATTATGGGAAGGATGTGTGGAGCCAACCCAAAGGATGGCAATAGTTTGGTCAAAACAAGAGCAGACTATTCGTAGCACCCGCTCCTCCGTGGACTCAAAATCAGAAATATTAACTTGCATAGTCTTTCCTTCCAGGTGCACCTTCCTATTTCCTGTATGGCCCTGATCCTTCCCTTGGGCCTTCCCCCTTCATCCCTTCCTGTACTCTGAGTGCTGCTGGCTTCGCCTGTGGTTAGAGGAACTGATTTCACCCACTTGAAAGTTACAAAGAAAGCCAATTCTCCCTTTCTCACACATCTAAACGCATTAGGTAGAGGAAGCAACACACCAGGGAGCAGGAGCTACCACCGCCTGAGGAGTGTCCCCAGAGAGTGTCACCCAAAGGGAGGTGCTCAGAAACTGTGCAAAGTTTATGAGTGTTTCTGTACAAACCTCTCTCTCTCTCTCTCTCTCTCTCTCTCTCTCTCTCTCTCTCTCTATCTATCTATCTATCTATCTCTCTCTGTATGTGTATTATACACACTTGTCTATATGCAGACATGCACACCTACGTGCACTCAGAGGTCAGAAGATGTGTGTGTATGTGTGTGGTATACACACATGCCTATGTACAGATGTGCACACCCACATGCACTCACAGAGGTCAGACATGACGTTGGCAGTTCTACCCTGTCCCTCTCGTTCTTCCCTTGAGACAGTCTCTCACTAAACTTGAAACTAGGCTGGCAGCCAGCAAACCCCAGAAATCTCTTGGTTTCTGTGTGTCTACCCACCTCCCATACACACACACACACACACACACACACACACACACACACACACACACACACACACGGCTTACAGGCACTTAGGTAGGGGCTGGCAGTTTGAAATCGGGTCCTCACGTTTGCAGAGAAATTGTTCTCACCCACTGAACTATCTCCCCAGACCCTATTAAAAGATCTTTCTTCATCCTGTCCCTAGTCAATTGTGTGTGTGAGTGTGTATGTGTGTGAGTGAATGTGTGTGTGTGTGTGTGTGTGTGTGTGTGTGTGTGTGTGTCCTCCTAACTGTACATTGTTCTCATCTCACTACCTAGAAATGCTCAAGCTCAAAGCTTGGATGCCTGGATTCCCTGGATCCTTGCATAGTTCAGTATCTGTACTCACACACTGCCTTGGCCCTGAGAGGTCACTTGGTGATCACCAGAATAGAATTCGAGCGATAACTTCTGGACATTTCTTTGACTCCTCGAGTAGAGGTTATGGATGCCATGCCTTCATGGCTGGACTGCCAGGAGAAAGGTTTAAATGAGAAGTGATTGCCAGGAAGTGTGTCCCTGGAGCACCCTGGAAGCCTGGTGTTCTGACCTGTCACACGCACTTAGGATCTCCAGCAGCAGCCTGTCCGGTGTTGGCAAGGCCCCAAGAGTGACCCATTTGACCCCTTTCCTAAACTGCAAAAGTAAATTTATCTCTTCCAAATGCAGCTTCTTACAGTGAGCAATTAGGGCCAGAGCAGTCCAGATGGCTGGGTTAACCGAAATGAAAACCATCTTTCCTATGATCAACCCTGAGTAAGTCCAGCAGCACCCAGGGTTAGTTCACCTTCAGCCCGTAGCAAGGCAACAGGCCTGCAGACGGTAGAGTGTGTGCGCTTCCATAAGAGGAATCAGCTGGGTTATATGCAGGAAGGACTGTCCTGGGGAAGACTGGAACTCAGACCATTCTTTCCTATGGGCAGGTCCTGACTTGGCTGTATCTTGCAGTGTGTGTGTGTGTGTGTGTGTGTGTGTGTGTGTGTGTGTGTGTGTGTGTGTGTGTGTGTGTGTGTGTGTGTTTGTCTGTAGGTATGTTTGAGTATGTGTCTGCATGTATCTGTATGTATATGTATTCATGAGTGTACACTTGTGCGTATATGTGCATGTGGAGACCAGAAGTCAACAGAGTGTCTTCCTCAATCATTCTTAGTTTGTGAGATGGAGTTTGGCTAAGAAGCCTCAAGGATCCTCCTGTCCCCACTCCAAAGCTCTGGGGTGTAGGCACATGTTGTCAGGCCCAGCTTTTGCGTAGGTGGGAGGGATCAAATTAAATCTTCGTGTTTGCAGATAAGCACTTTACTGACTGAGCCGTCTCCTCGTTCCTGACTTCTAGCTGTGTGAGGAGCTGTGAGTCCCAACAGAAATGATAATTGCTCCCCCCCCGTCCCCCCGCCATGCTGATCTAGTGGCGCAACTCCCTAGGTCTCTTCTTCCCTTCTCTCCCTACCTAAGAATTGACAACTTATTATTCTTACACATAAGAAGTTATAAAAGCCCAGCTTTGGAAGATAGCTCAGTTGGCAAAGCTCTAGCCACACAAGCAAGAGGATCTAAGTTCGGAGCCCTGAGACCCATGTGAAAAGCCAGTCAGGAGGCTGGAGAGATACTCAGTGGGCTCGCTGTTAGCTGTACGAGCATCATGACTTGGTTCAGATTCTTAGAGCCTGCATAAAGCCAGGCACAGTTGCACACATCAATAATCACAGTGCCTCTGTGGTAGAGTGAGAGGCAGAAACAAGAGAATTCTTGGGATCTTACTGGCCAGCTAGACTGGCCTCTGAAACACAAACAGTATGAAACCTTGTCTCAAACAAAGCCGAAGGTGAGATGAACACCTGAGGTTGTCCTCTGACCTCCACATGTATGCTGTGCCATGTATATGCCCACACTTATACATGGACACGCATACATCATGCACACACTAGGTAATAAGGAAATAAACAAAATCCAGGCATGGTAGTACATGCCCATAATCCCAACAGTGGGGTACAGAGACAGAAGGACCCCTTGGAACTCACTGACTAGCCACTTTAGCCTAATGAGCAAGCCCAGGTACCAGTGAGACATCCTGCCTCAAAAGAGAAAGTGGATGGCTCCAAGGAATGACACCAAAGGTTGACATCTGTCCTCTACACACATGTGCAGACATGCACCTGCACATACACACTCCAGCACATATTCATTTACTTTGAATATGCATGTCTCCAGCCTTCCACCAGTTTTAAGATACAACCAATGCCTAGAAACTCCAAAACATCAACCTCAAAAATGGATGGAGAGTGGGGCGACATGTGCTCCCACACACATGTGTATGTTTTCCAAGTTGCCTCATTCTTGAATGACAGAAGCAAGAGTTACAGAATATGCCATCAACATGACATATTACATGTCCCTTTCATGAGGACAAATGCACATATATATGAAGACAGAACTTTTGTTTATGTTCAGCTTTTTTCTTGATTACTGTGACAGTTTATCAGTGGAGTATTTTTAATAGCAACTAATAGACTATCCTATTAAAAAATAATTAAAAATATCTACAAGTCAGGAAGTAGGTGACTGTCCCTGAGGGTCACAATTTGTCTACAGCAGCACCAAAAATTACTTATTGCATGGCAATGTTCAGGGACAAAAGGAAAGGATAGTTAGTAGTGAAGCTTTTTGTGAACTATTTCCCAAGATCCTCCATTGGTTGGCTATCATCTTCCATGTGTCCATTGTAGGATGGCTACCTCTAAGGCCATCATCAGCAAAGGGGAGCAAATGCATATCCTGACTGACTCAGTTTCCCCACTCAGACCTTCCAGGTCCTCATTCCCTGAAATATTGCTACCAGAAGCTCAATCTATCAAAGGTTCTGTTAGCAAAAGGAAAACAGGACCTGGGCACTGTATTAGAAACCCACAATACACTAGCCACAGTGTTTTCTCATCACTTACATTATCTATTTAAATATAAACTATAGAAATACTATTTACTAAATAACCAAGTATATGGCTACCTATCATTAGAATAAAAATCTACTATTTATAACAGGAGTATATAGAAGTCTTCTTTGTAAATTAATATGAATTTAAAGCAAATTTTCCAATTTATGATTTTTTTCATGATTTCTGGGCTATAAAAAAATCACATATTCTTTGAAAGCTACTCCCTCCTATATTAGTTCTTTTTCTCTTGCTATGATAAAATACATGGCAAAGGCAACTTATAGAATAAAGAGTTTCTCTGGGCTGATGGTTACAGAGGGAGAGCCATAATGGCAGGGAGGCATGATAACAGGCAGATGAAAGAAACTGAAAGATCATCTCTTCAATTCGAAACTCAAAGCAGAGTGCATGAGCTGGAAATAGGGTGAGAAGATGAACTCTCAAAGCCTGCCCATGGTGGTATATTTCCTCCAGCAAGCCTCCACCTCCCAGAGGTTGTATAACCTTCCCCAAATAGCGCCACCAACTGGGGGCCAAGTGTTCAAATGAATGAGCCTATGGAGGACATTCTCATTCAAAACACCACAGCCCCCAAGATCATTTCTTCTTGAGGGTTCTTGAACAACCAGTCAAAGATCTAGAAATCTACTTACAGGTAACTAGAAGTGATCCCCTTTCAACACATCTGTTTTTGCCACTGATATCCATCAAAGGACTCAAGCAATCCTGAAATAGAAATGAAGAAAACAATTTATATAATACTATAATAAAGTTGTGTGTGTGATAAGCAAGAGGGTATGGGAGTGCATATGTGTGTGCATGTCTTTGTAGATAGGGGTCTCTTGTTTTTGTTTGAGGTTTTTGGTTTGTTTGTTTGATGTTTGTCAATTTTTTTTTAAGATGGAGTCTCATGTAGCCCAGGCAGGACTCCACCTGGCTATGTAGTAAAGGATGACCTTGAAGGTCTGAGCTTCCTGCCTCCATCTCACCCTATTTATATGATGCTGGGGACAGAATGGATGCTCTCATGAATGCTAGGCAGGCACTCTACCCACTAATTTAGAGTGTGTGCGTGTGTGTGTGTGTGTGTGTGTGTGTGTGTGTGTGTGTGTGTGTGCACATGTTGCCAGAAAAAAAAAATCTCAGGAAAGAATTTTCAATGAAAAGGGGAGTTTTCAAATGAAAAAAAAAAGTTTGCAAAGTAGGAAACTACAACCTTCGGTATAAAATGAAAGGGCACTCCACAGCACAAAGACAGGAGCTATCCTGTGTGCAGAAAGTTCCTGCCCAGCTTCTCACTCATTCCAGCCCACTTAGGAAAATGAGAAGTGTTGACCTGTGGGAAATACTCAGTCCTGATTGGCTGACTGCAGATCACAGCTCATCGATCAGGTTCAGGTAGCAAAATGAGACTTTCTGAAGTCTGTTTGTTTTGGCAGTTGAGATGGGAACATGTTGGACAAGGGCTGCAAAGTTCAGTTTGTGGTTCTTCCAGGAACACAGAGTACATGTGTGCCCCCCATCCACGCTACCAGGCTCCATTCTGCATTTAGGCCTACTTAGCTACAGGGCCCATTCTACGAGGCTCAGCTTTTTGGGTTTTGTTGTTGTTGTTGTTGTTGTTGTTGTTGTTGTTTAACTTCACATTTCCCACCTTTTTATCAGAATCTATTATCTGCCAGCCCTAGAGATGGGTTAAAACAAAAACATCTCATCTCAGTGCCACTGTGGTGGGTTCATACAATGCAAGGGTAAGTGTCTTATAAATGTCTGTTAAAACAGGCTAGAGTTATCTTAGAGAAAAGCCAAATGCTTAGTCCAGTTCCCAGACAAGTCATGAGAAACTTACAGCAGAACATGAGAGAGCTAGCATCAGAGGGTAGAAACCAGCTGAAAGTATCTGAACTAGGGAGTTGTTGAACCCTCTGAGTGTCCCCCATACAGATGTAGCCAACCTGAGGATGTTAGAAGTTTCCAGTCATACTTGATGAGCACTGTGAGGTGTTTGCAATGACACTGTAGAGTGAGAATATAATCAATGTAAGTCCCTTATTGAGGACCCATAGGCAAGGGTCTCTAAGACCTCGGCTAGGCTCTCAGAGCCTAGACAATGGAATAGGCAACTCAGTTACCAAGGTCATAAATTGTTCTGCTCATGCGTTCACCCCAGTATTACCTATTCCTACAGAGAATCCCTTCTAAATCTAGCCCAGCACCTGGGATTGACCCTTCCAATAAGTCACACACTTAGAAATGCCCAGGACTGTCACTCTCATAATCCAAAGTGTTGTCACAATGATGACAATTCACAGTGGCAATGTTTTCCCTTTGAAAAGGATGGCAATTGCAATGGAAGAGATCATGAGCTGAAAAATAAAAAAGGGTGCTAAGAACTTCAACATGTATTCTCCTCTTCATTATCAGGGACAAAGGTAGGCACTGCCAAAGGGCACTTATCCTAGCTTCAAAGATGTGACCAGGGAGAGCTCATATTAATCAGACATATTCTAGAAGTTTGGGGCTTTTGTGAGACCTTGTGAAATCAAATGTTAGTATCAAGGACAATCTGAAGGCGTCGGGTAAAATTAGTCTAACAGACAGGCAATGTTAAAGGAATGCCAAAGATGGAAGGAGCCGAAGAATCCTGGTGAACTGTACACAGGGCTTGCTGTTGTTCTAGTTTCATTCTGTAGCCATGATAAAATACCCTGACAAAGGCAACTTAGGGGAGAAGGGGCTTATTTCATCTCACGGTTCCATGTTACAGTCCATCATTGTGGAGAAGTCAAGGCAGGAACTCAAACAACTAAGTCCCACCATATCCACAATCAAGAGCTGGGAGAAATTAATGCACCCTTACTCACTTGCTTGAATGCATGAGTTCAGCTTGAGTTCTCTATCCTTACATAGTGCAGAACCCCCTAGTTCAGGGGAATGGTGCCACCCACGGTGGGCTGGGTCTTCCCACATCAATTAACTATATTAAGACCATTCTCCATGCCCCACAGGCCAACTTTTCACTGAGACTCTTCCCAGATGATTCTGGATTATGTCAAATTGAGAATTAAAGCTAAACTTCACAAGTAGAATGGGTCTCTCATAAGAATTTGATGGAACTAGAGATTAAAAGGTAGATGGATAGAAAGACGCTGGTAATACAGTTTGCTTCAAGTCTCACAGGCTTTTATATTGTGGGGTTCTTGCCTTTAGAACCCAAATGCATTCATTGGATGGGCTAAGGAAAAATAAACTAGATGTAAAGAAGTATAGATAGATTTAGTAGGTAGGTACTTGAGATCTTGCTTATAGGTTATATAAAAGGAGAGGAATGGGATAAATGTAGTTATAGGAGTAGCAATTAAGTCATTGTCCTTCAAGAAGGAATTTGTAGGCAAGAGATGACAGACAGGTCCAGCAATCAGTAAGGTTATCAATGGAAGTCAAGAAGGTTGAGGAGAGAAATTAAAGACATAGGAGTCAAGGATGGTCTCCAAAGGGTGACAAGGGTAGATATGAAAGAGAGATCTCATGACCATCCTTTCAGTGGCTTTTGTAAGAGTAGAGACAGAAACAAATGACTTCAAATGTGGAGGTAACCCCTGGGCCACTGATTGAAGTGCTATACTGGCCCATTCTAGAGTACTCCCTTTCCTACTCACGAACAAATGGGAAAGGAGACTTAATCAGGGTGTTCCAAAGCAGGAGCTAAAGTCGTTGAGTATTTTACCTCCAGAAGCATGTGTTCCAGCAGAAAACCATTAGAACAAAACAAGAGAGGAAATTTTTCTAAATTATGAAACAGATAAAACATCAAATAAAATTTGAGCAGTCATCTCTGGCAATAACTCATATGCATCCTCAAAATTCACAGACCTGTCTATTACTCTGGAGAAGAGGAGCTAAAATGTCATGAAGACTGAAAATATTGGAGTCAGATCTTTGCGTATCAAGAGATGATGCAAAATTTTGATCAAGGTCTGATAAAAGTTTTTACTTTAGACCACATAATCTCTAGCTGACATACTACACAGTGAGCAAATGTGGTTGGCAAGACAAGCCTCTTAAGACGGGGAACATGAAAACAGATCATGCATGTACTGAAGTAATCGTGGGCCACACCAAGGGAGGCATCAGCTAATCATTCCAAAGAATTCGAAAGAAATTGGGTAGGTTGTCAGTACACTATCGAAGAAGGACTGTCCAGGTGGCCCTTCCAGGTAAAGACAAAGGCATGGGCTATCACAGCATACTGATCATAATAAAAAAAAAAATTGCTATAGAGGTTGATAGCTGAAAAGTGTTGGTTCTTGAAGGGAACAGAGAATAACCAGATATGAGGGTGTGGCCTCTGGACAACATAAAGTAGCTATGCTGTTAATGGCTTTGGGACTCTGCACAAGTCACCACCCTCTTCCTTTCTGTTTGAGGCAGTTAAAATGAAAGTATTCCGAGGATTGATGCATGGAACGAAGACCTTATGTATAAAGTTGTCCACTCTGACCCGGATCCCAGACAAGATCTAGGGAGTATTCCTTGATACTGGGGACAAATTTGAGATGATACACTTGGGATTGCCTGGAGGTGCTGAGTGAATGTGATGAAGAACAGTGCTAGAATGTAACCAGACCCATGTGAGAAACTCCTAGAGAGCAAAATAGAGTGAAGTCAGCAGAGGAGATGGGTAAGAAAATGGCTGTGTTCTTAACAACAAAGCCCCTTGGTAGGTTTCATTCTAACCTTCATCTCCCCTCTGGAGAAAGACATGAGCTAGACAAACTTCCAAAAAAAATTCTCTTCAAAAGGTCTATGATGCGAGTAGGAAGATTAGGATCCATATGCTTCTAAAAATATCCATAAGGGACCACGTGACAACTACGACACCAAAATGCATAGAAAATTCAGAAACTTTTAAAGGTTGGTTGGATACTCCAGTCATTTAGATAAACTCAGAATTCTGAGAAAGAGACATTGAAAAACTGTCAGGGCTAAAGATCGATAGAGTAAACCCAATGTCAGTCAGAGCTTTAACTAGTATAACTCCAAGTTTACAATTCTAATCATCTGACTTTATTTTTTAAGTAGAGAAAATAACTTCTCGATTTCCCCAAAGCACCCTTAATTTTAGTTGGGGCTGAAGGCTGATTTAGCCTTATCAGTGTTTGCACTTGACAGTGCTTTTTTTGAAAACAGTTATACAGAAAACACAGCTTCCTGGTTCTGAGAGGTAGGATAAGTTGGACCATGCTTCTTTAGTAGTTGGACCATTAGCTTGGTGTTGTTGGTTGGTCTTGCTCTTTTTCGAGGGAGGCCCCTAACCAGTTCCCAAATAAATTCACACAGAGAGGCTTATGCTTACTTATCAATGCCAGGCCTTAGCTTTGCGTAGTTTCTTGCCAGCTTTCCTTAACTTATTCCAACCACCTTTCGCCTCTGGGCTTTTCCCGTTCTCTAACTTCTCTAAATCTTACTCTTACTCCGTGGTTTGCTGGTTGTGTAGCTGGGTGGCTGGCCCCTGGAATCCTTCTCTTCCTCTGGCTCCTCGATCTCTCCAATCCCTCTTCCCAGATTTCTCCTCTTATTTATGCTCTCTGCTTGCCAGACCCACCTATCCTTTCTCCTGCCTTGCTATTGGCCATTCAGTTCTTTATAAGACCATCAGGTGTTTTACACAGGCACAGTAACACAGCTCCACAGAGTTAAACAAATGCAACATAAACAAAAGTAAC